ACATGGAAGATACCTGTAACGCAGCTTCAGTGAACAGATTTGAGAGAGCCCCTCTTGCTGAGACAACTCCAGAAAACTTGAGGAATGGCTGCAAGGATTGGAGAGTGCGATATGAGCTTCGTAGGGTTTGATCGAGAAAAAGATGGGATATAGCGTGTCATTTTTTAAAATAGATAAGGGCAGTATAGGCATTTTGAAAGTTTCATTAAAGCCTCCGCATACTTCTCCTGGCAGCAAATTTCAGAAGCAGCTCCCCACCTGCCTCTGTTTTTCAGTTTTGAATGATAGCAAATTATTAAATAAGCAGCTTGGATTTGATTTACCAAACACCCAAATCCCCAAAACATTTTTTTAAAGCTGCTTATTTTTTACCCCAAACCAGCCCTAAGTTGGGTCTTGGGTTTATGACATATTTTTCAATGGGCTGGTCTTTGCTCTAAATGATGTTGGTTCTTTCAATTGGTCCGTTTGAGTGTTCTTATGGGTTTGTTTTGTAGATTCATTCTATAGTGAGGGTCTCATTTCTTAACTGTTGGTTCAAACTAACTAATTTAATTCAATGACTAATTAATTTGATCCAACGGTTAAGAGATAAAGCCCTCACTATAGAATTCTACTTGTTTTGTATCGCTTGTGGGCTTTGTTCTCTTTTATGGGCGATGGGCCTTGTGATCTTTGTTCTACGTTTTGGGTCATTTCATTTCGACTCAAACACTGGCCCAAACCCCTTTGGGTCTCTTTGCAATACTAAGTTCCTTGAACATAAAGAAGACAGTTTTGTTCTCCTTTCTAAGAAATTGTGTAAGGTTCCTGAGTGTGTTGTTGGGGTGTGTGAATGGTTCAAAGGACAAAGGGAGGGAATATTTGCGACACAAGTAAGCATATAAGAAGGAAAAGGGGAGTGCTTTGGGTTCGGATGTTTAAACGAGAACAAAGGAGGGGGACAAAAGTGAGGCTCTTCAGTCTTGATTTGAAGTCTAAAGGTGAAAAAGCAATCACTGCCTACGACTATGACCATACTTATTCTTGGGGATTTGAATCTTTGTATTGGATTTTGTAACATTTTCTCCTTTTTTATTTTCTTTCTTGTGATTTGAGACATTAGTTTCCTTCCATTCCCAACATATAATTGCAGTTTGTGCGCTTCACACGCATAGAAATTTCACCCAACCAAGTGAACTAGACAAAGCTTCAGTTCAATTTCAACCAAGTGGGTTTGACATATTAAGTTTGGTAGGACAGAGAGGGATGATTGGAAAGAAGAGTGGTTATGAAATCAGTCACATCTTCATCAACTGCACAACAACGAGACAAACTTGTAATTTAAGTGATTAAGAACGTTAATTATTTTAACGGATGTTGTTAGTTTAAAGAAAAGTCAGCTGTGTTGTGTGCTTGGATTGAAACATATGCATAATGGATTTACCTTTGAAGCTGTGTGGTTGGATTGGCAGAAAATGAGTGTTTTGTTTTTGCTATCTCTTTACTTTTCCATCGTTCACTGGCACACAACACGACAGATGGTGTTTAATGGATCAGAAAATGCGTGATTCACTTTACCTCCATCAAATCCAACATAAAGATAAAGAGACCAGTCCAGAGGTGTGACTGTTCACCAACTAGGGTTCTTCCATAATTTTGGATCCCAACCCACCACCCAACCATCTCCATTGTCCAGTCCATTAATATTTTATATAAAGTCTCTGATCTGGTCTGGTCTGGTCTCTGACCTAATTGTCTCCTCCATTCTCGGGGACCCAGCTGACCTGACCTGAGCTACTTAGTCTCAGAACCAAACAAACCCAGCTGTGTAGAAATCAATCAACACAAACAGCTGCCCATTTGGCCATTTCCCAGTAACATAATCTCTTTCAAGCAACTCCGATTCCACTTTTCTTTTAATAAGACTACAATCGTCTCAAACTTCATACCAAAAACAGATAAAAGGGTTTTCATTCAGCAATTCAATCCAATATCTCAAGGACGACTTCACTTCACAAAAGATTGCAATCTTTCCCATCTGATCATAACAAAAGAAATAAAATTGGTTCATATATATATGGTACAGATTTCTGTCATAGGAGCTGGACAGTTTTAGGCATGCGTATAGTCTGGTAGAGAAGCAAAAGCTTTAAAGTAAAGTGGCTTGAACTCGGAGCCATTAAAAGCAAATCATCCTGCCCTTTGCTTTTAAGGATTCGAATGTTGCATACGTTCACAGGCTTCAACGTAAATATAGCTTAGATATTTTAGTCCGTACCTTATATTGATTCGAATCATAGAATAGTACAGGAAAAAAACAAGTGTACGTATAATTTGAACCAGGAGCTGCCCAACATCACACAAATGGAGATAAAATATTATATTTGATTGCTTTCCTTGTAATCTTTTGATCTCCAATTATTAGAGAAGATTTGCAGTCAAAGTTTTGGGTTGGAAAGCCATTTTGTGAGCTACCCTATGCTGCATAAAGCATTTTAATAACGTTAAATTATTTATCTCTGGGTTTCTAACTTTGTGGCCAGTGGTGGGGCTCCTTTTTGTCACCATTCAATATCTTTTACAGATCAAGAATATCTTGCTTCTTCTTTTCTGATTTTTTTTTCGGTTTCCTTCTCAAAGGTCTCAAAGGTAAAATAAAGAAGCAATGAGGACAAGAATTTATTCACGGGTTAGGCTTTTAAGGAGGAGGACAAACAATAATGTTGTTGCAAAAGAAGGGTTCAAACTCAGAGAGAGCATTTTGATTCTTCTTCTTTCACATCTCAGAGATATATGGTTTAGCTTTGAAATGCTCCATTGCTTCTCGCAATTGGCCTTGTCTGTGAATTGACCATTTAACTCTTATCGATCTCTCAAATAATTTCACAGTCGAACTGACAGCCATGCTAGTGTCCAAACTGACTGACATGCTTCACAAAATATAAGAGCATTTTCACCCACGGTGCTATGGCAAATGGCAAAGTTCAGAAATTATTCACATGAGATTTAAGATGATAAATTTGTATGAAATTTTGGTGTGGAAAGTGAAGAACATAGCTAGATATTTATAATAGGGTTATTCGTATTAATGGTCCCTCAAGTATACTTGAAGTTATATTTTGGTCACTCAACTCAAATATTAGTTGCAGAGGTCACTCAATTGGATGTTGTGTTGCACCATTAGTTCCTACCGTCAAGTTGGGTTTGGGCTTGTCCAGACTGGCCTTCACTGTTGAAGTTGGGTTTTGGGGACTGGGGGGCCTTCTGCCCGTGTTGGCCTGCACGGGTGGAAGTGCTCTAATAGATGACACTCTCTCGGCAATTGCATCATTGCATGAGCTCCATCTTTGCCACCCTCATGTTTAAGTCTAAGGTAATGATAGTAACCTTCTCTCTAACATTCTATTTTCAATCTTCTCATTTTTGGTCATAATATGTGTCACTTTCCTTATACTTAAAACCAACTAGATTTCCGCCCATGGGAATGGAGCGCATTTTGTGGCCAGCCGTTTACCTCCATTGGGAGAGCTCCCGTGGCGAAAGGGATTAGTCACTACTGTCGGCGGTGGATACCCTTGGGTCTCATCTAAAAATATATAAAAAAAATAAAAAAAAACCAACTAGATTTTATTTTCCAAGTTTATTCTTTTATTTTTCTTTCTTATGTGGCATAAAATAATAATAAAATATTTTAAAATTCAATTTAGAAAATAAGAAATAGGATTACAGTATTCAAAAACTAAAATTAAAATCAAAAAACCCTTATCCCCATGCCGACTCCTTCCAGCCGCCACCTTACAAAGCTCATCCTCCTCCATCTCCCCACCCCACATCAATCCACAAACCCAACAAAAATGGAGGAAGCCCACATCGGCTATGGCTGCTCTCCTTCACACTCCCATTAACTCTCTCTCATCACCACCATCCCCCAAACTCTCCCAACTCTCTCTTACCCCTTCTTTTGTGAATCTCAAAGTTAAAACTCATGAGAAGGTGGAGAACCTTGGAGAAAATTTAAGTATTACCGCTCACACTATGTTTCTTCTTATGAGAAAGTAAGAAGGTGCCTTTAATGGCAGTTCTGAAATTGTGGTTGGGTTGGGGTTATTTGGTGGAGGCTGGAAGGAGTCGGGGTTGGTGGGGTTTAGGGTTTTTTATTTTTAGTTTTTGAATACTGTAATTCTATTTCTTTTTCTTTTTTTAATTGAATTTCAAATATTTTATTAATATTTTATTCCACATAAAGAAAAATAAAAGTTTATTGGTCTCATTCATTAATGATATTGTTTTATTTGTAAGAATGAAGGTCTAAAATGAAGGTTAGAAAGAAGGTTGTTAGCATTCCTTAACTCTTAAGATTCCAATTTGCTGTACTTGATAATACACTGAAGATGGGAATTTGATCTTGCAAACGTGAGTTAAGCGAGTTGGTCAGGACGGTAAATCCATCATTGCACCCAAATTATAATTTCCATTTCAGTTAAATTAAATTAATTTAAAGTAATTTATTGTTTATATAATAAATTAAAAAAAAACAAAAAACAAAAAAAGAAAGGATATCCAAATAATTTATGGAAGGATACTTGCAAAAATGTATTGGGCTTTAAATAATTGTGAGTGATGGAGCCCCGGATATAAAGGCCCAGCGCTAGGGCCCACCACTGCTCGTGATCCCAGAGAAGATGGGGCCCATGGCTATTGATCTTTAGTCTAATCATGTCTGGCCTTGTTTCCAAAATAAGTTATTAAATAACTTTCTGCGTTCCATAAAATTATAAAGCCATGTACTTTAGCAATTCTTAATAATGTAACACAGAGCCGTGTCCAGCCAAGCTATCGCCAGCTGTTTCTTTACAATACGTGCAAAAAGTGGTACAAAATCATGTTTAAGCTTTGCTTAAATCTTGCTTAAGTCCGGCTTAATTATGATTAATTATGCTTAATTTGCTGCTTTAGTGTTGTATTAGTTTCTACTATGCTATGTTAGAATATAATAGTAATTTTTTAATTGATGTTTTCCTAGTGAAGTAGAGTTTTATCTGATGCTTTCCTTTTTTGTTTTCCTGGCAACTATTCATAGTTTTTTAGTTGTGTTTCTTTCTTTTTATAATTGGGTTTCCCTGGCAAAAGAAGGAGGCAACTAATCTGAGCTGAACTAGGATTAATCTTTAAGTTTCCTATTTCTTTTTTCTTTTCTAAATTAGATTAGTTTCTGTTCAGCTATATAAACCACTCCACTGTTGTTCAAGTTGTATTATTCAAGAAGATATTCGATTTATAAATCTGGTCGCGGTACTTGGAGCTGGAGCAAACGGACTGCTCTCACTCTCTCTCTCTCTTTCTGGCTTTAAAATATTGCTCGAAAAGAGAGTACACAAAACCCTAGAACGGAGGAAGAAAGCTAAAAGATAAAGTGTTGAGTTCTCTCTCACCAACCGCCTCTGAGCTCTCTCTCTTTCTCTCTCTCTCTCTCTCTCTCTCTCTGCATTTATATCCTCAGCTCACAATCTCAAGCAATCCTGTTTGCTCTCTCTTTCTCATAGACAATGAGTAAGCACGAGGTCATGGATCTTCAGGTACACTTTTGTTTAAACTATTTTCATTCATAATGTTATGAAACAAAGCTAAGCTATACTGTTCCTCTGTTAGTTTCTTTCTTACTAATTCGGCACAAACAGTGACTCAGTCTAATTTGGTCTTCTGGGATTTTTAAAATTTTTTTTTACTTGCAGAGATCGGTTTACAAAGTAAATATTTGCTGCTTGGGCTGTAAGGGGAAAGTTAAGAAAGCGTTGAAAATTGAAGGTATGTTCGTTTAATTTGTTACCCAAAAAAACTAATCAGTATTTTTTTCATTAATATTAGCTTAAAGTACTGATCTTTATGCTGTGAATTTCAATAGGTTAAGTAGTTTTTGTGGCTAATTGTTTGAATGGTCTTGTTGTCCAGGTGTGTACAACAGCATTATAGATGCAGATCAGGGGATCGTGACTGTGATTGGGAATATTGATCCAATCAGATTCATTAAGAAACTTAAAAAAGAAGGCAAAAATGCCGAGCTTCTGGGGGTTCAAAGGGTTTCAAACAACAACCAAGCTCAGCTCAACAATCAGATGCCTGCTGGGAAAGGTGGAAAAGACAACAAATCTCAGAAGCCAAAGGGTGGCCAACAACAACAACAAGCACAGCAGCAGCAGCAGCAGCAATTCAAAGGGGGTAAAGCCATGAAAATGCCTCCTCCCAAGGACCAGAAATCTGTGAAATTCAATTTGCCAGAGGATGAATTTGGTGGGAGTGATGATGAATATGACAGTGAGTTTGAAGACGAATTTGAGGATGAGTTTGGTGATGAAGATTATGATGATGATGATGACGAACAAGAGTTTGGGCATGGCCATGGCCATGGCCATCACCAGCAGCAGCAGCAGCAACCCAATAAGATGATGCCAGGTATGATGGGTCCACAAGGGCCTTATGGGAAGATGATGCCAATCATGGGAAATGGCCATGGGCCACATGGGCCTGCTGGAATGATCAATATGCATGCTATGAATGAGAAAAAATTAGGTGGTGGTGGTGGGGGAGGCTCTGCCAAGAAAGGTGGGGTTATTGATTTTCCTGTGCAATTGAAGGGCAAGAGTGAAAATAATGAAAAGAAGAATGGCAAGGATGGAAAGAAAGGGGGTGGAAATGGCAAAGGAGGGGAGAAAAAGAAGGGAGAAAAAGAAAAAGAAGAGTGCAAGAGTGGAGGTGGCTTGGTGGGTTGGCTCAAAAGAAGTACTAGTATAGGAAGGGGTGGTTCCAGAGGAAGTGGTGTGGATGGTGGTGATGGGAAAAACAATGGCAAGGGCAATGGAGGGAAAAAAGGTGGATGCAAACATGATGGGGCCCATGAAATTAAGAAGGGGAAAAATGATTATCATGAAATTGATGTGGTGCTCAATCATGGCAAAGGAGGGAAAGGGGGCAAAGAAATCAAAGAAGGCAAAGAGGGGAAGGGAAGCAATGGAGGCAAAGGAGGCAAAGGAGGCGGCAATGGTGGCAATGGAGGAGATATGCATCAAATTCAAATGGGCCAAAAGGGCCAGATGGTTCCAATTGGGCAGATGGGTCAGATGGGCCAGATGGGTCCAATGGGTCAGATGGGTCAGATGGGCCAAATGGGCCAGAGGGGTCCAATGGGTAATTATCCAATGGGGCAGATGGGTAATGCTCCAGCAGTTCAAGGATTGCCTACACCATCGATGATGAACGGTGGATATTATCAAGGGATGGGGCCTGCTGGAAACCCTTATAACCAGCAGCAGCAGCAGCAGCTCCAGCAACTGCAGCAGCAGCAGCAGATGCAGCTGCAGCAACAACAATACATGGCCATGATGAACCAACAGAGAGGCAATGGCAATGGCATGTACCAGCCCATGATGTATGCACGGCCACATGCCCCCATGAACTTCATGCCTCCTCAGCAAATGCCATCTTCAAATGATCCTTACGCCAACTATTTCAGTGATGAGAATGCTAATGGTTGTTATCTTATGTGAACAAGTAAAAAGTAGCTAGGGTTTCAGTCATGTTTTTTTTTTTCTTTCTTTTTTTTGGTTTTTAGGATTATTGTATTTCTGGTGCTTAATGCAAACACTTTGGAAGTACCATGGCTTATGTTACTCTGTAATATGGGTAAATTTTGCTTCTTGGTAAATGTATATTAACCCTAACCTAATTCTCCCATTGATGATTTGTTTAACCAATTTGTTTAGGATCTCAATTAAAATATTTGTGTTATAAGGGTTGCCAGAATGATGCAGAGAAAGGCACTTTAATCAAGGTGCATCATGTGTAGATTTCAACTTGGAAATATTTAAAGCATCAATCTCTATCTATCTGTTGAAATTATTAGGTCCATGATTTTTCTTCCTTTTGACTTGCGTTTCCCCACCAGTCTCCACCATCAAGTCCGGATTGGAAAGGTGGGAAAACGTGACTTCATTGGCATTATAATTTATATACAGGGACAGAGCTATCAGAAACCAGAATTTTAAAAACAGAGCCATCACTATTTTTCTCACCTGGTGGGGTATGAGATAAGACATAAGAGGCTGTTGTTTAAGCCTGACCAAACCAAACTACATATATGGGCTTTGCCTTTGTGAGCCTTTCATATTGACCCAATCTGAACAGGCCTAATACAACACCTAATCTTCATGCTTATACAAGATTTCTAACAAAATCTTAAGTAAGCTTCAGTTTCGGATATGATGATTAGTCCACCGTCACAGAAAAGAACTGGTTTTGAAATTCATGTCGGTAAGCTTTGTACCTATGTGGTGGAGGCTGCCTCTGGATGAACTTAGAAACTGTGTTATTGCAGAACTAATTCTGCTTTATAAACCATTAAACATGATCCCTATCAGATTAAGAAAGATGATTAGGGTGATTTGCTTTCCAAATGCAAAACTAATGCCGGTTTCGAGTACCGGCCAAACCCAGTGTCGCTTTTTTTGTTTGTTACTTAAAGCACAAGCTACTGCATGTATTGAAGCCCTTCTCACTGCCAAGTACCCCTACATACTCACCAACTCTTTGTTCTCATATCAAGATTATGCTCACCCCTTTTGCTTTCAAATCCCTCAAGCAAGGACACAATGCCAAATTCTAAAATGTCCATATGCAAGCCACCCCTCTATAAATTGCAAGCTCTGCCTCTCTAGTTCTTTGCCAATTCCCACCGTTTCATCTTCCTATCTATACCAAAACTTGTTCATTTCCAAATTCCAATTGCATCCATGGCTTCTTTCCTTCATAATTTCCTGCTCTTCTTCTGTTCTTTATCTCTTCTCATTCTCACATCTTCAGCAACCAAATCCCAAACCCACGTCCCCATCAGACCAAACATGCTTGTCCTCAAAGTCCAGAAAGATAGGGCAACCAATCTCCATGTGGCCCAAATTCACAAAAGAACCCCTCTAGTCCAGTTCCCCTTTGTCATAGACCTAACTGGGAGGTTCTTATCAGTCAATTGTGAGAACCAATACACGTCATCAACTTACAAAGCCCCTGTTTGCCACTCAAGCCAGTGTGCTAAGGCCGACAGCCACACTTGCCGCACGTGCAGCTCTTCAAAACCCAGACCAGGCTGCCATACCAACGCTTGTGGACTCTTGACCACGAACCCTGTGACCCAACAAAGTGCCCTGGGTGAGCTCGCAGAGGATGTCCTCAAAATCTCGTCAACCCAAGGCTCAAGCCCTGGCCCAATGGTCACACACCCCCGATTCCTCTTTGCTTGTGCACCTTCCAATATCTTGCAAAAGGGGTTACCCAAAAATGTTCAAGGTGTTGCTGGTCTAGGCCACTCCCCAATTTCCCTACCATACCAACTAGCTTCCCACTTTGGCTTCCCACCAAAATTTGCAGTGTGCCTCACTTCCTCACGTGGCAACAACGGCGCCGTTTTCTTCGGTGAAGGACCCTATTTCATGAAGCCTGGCATCGACGTGTCACGCCAGTTGACCTATGCCCCATTGACCATAGGCCAGCAAGGAGAGTACTACGTCAATGTTCAATCAATTAAAATCAACAACGCCATGTTGCCTTCGATCCCAAAAGGTGGGTTTGGTGGGGCACTGATCAGCACCACAACTCCCTACACAACTCTCCAAACCCCAATTTTCAGGGCACTCAATCAGCTCTTCATGAACCAGCTTCGAGGGGTGCCTCATTTGAAACCTGTGGCACCATTTGGGGCATGTTTTGACGCAAACAGAATCCCTACCAGCAAGACGGGGCCTACGGTTCCCAGCATAGACCTTGTTCTAGACAATAAGCAAAACATCATGTGGAGAATTTTTGGTGCAAACGCTATGATTCAGGCACGTCCTGGCGTGATGTGTTTGGCGTTTGTGGACGGTGGGATGAGGCCTAAGGCTCCAATTGTGATTGGGACCCAGCAGTTGGAGGATAATCTGCTGCAGTTTGATTTGATGAACTCAAGGCTGGGATTTAGCTCTTCCTTGTTCCTCCGCGGGACCAACTGTGCCAACTTCAACTTTGGCACCTCCTCCACCAGCACTGATCCGTAGATTGTGAACCCTTTTGACAGATGATCTGAGGGTTTTTGTGTATGTTGATCAAATAAAATATCTACTTTAAAGCTTTGTGCTTGATGTTGTCTCTAATTAAGTGACTGCATAAATAAAACTTTTATTTAATTATACTGTTGGTTATGTCTTTTTCTTGCTTGAAACTCAAATTTAGTCCGTATATGCTTGACATGCTAAAATGGATTCCAAACCTAATGAACAATTGGGTACATGGTCCATTTCATGGTTATGTATCTTAGTACTAAAAAATTGACTTTGAATTGCAGATTACTAGTCTCATGTTCAAACCTTCATGGCACCGTGTAGTTTAGAGTATCGCTTGTACTTAAAAAAAAAAATCTTAATACATAACCTGCTAAATATATAAAAGAGGCTTGAGGGTAACTTGGGCTAGTGTTGCCATTGCCAGGCCAAGGCTTGTTTCTGGCTAATTTTTTTTTTCCGTCCTGTACCCCCGTTTTTCTTAACGCAAGAAAAAACTCAAACCCAATGATATTTTGTTGGCTCCAAATATCATATTCTCATCAGGAAATAAAATATTTAGCCAATTAAAGAAAAAGCCTTCCTTTGAAGAGACCGAAGAGCCAGGTTTTATTGTTATTTCTGGTAGAAGCAACAGTTAATAATTAATACTAGATTTTTTATATAAAGAAATCGTTTAACATCGAGGCTATACTCATTTTTACTAATTTTTTTTAAAAATAGTATAGCCGTTCGGCTTTATTTTTTGACACGTGGTGCCTCGCGGCTGTACCCGGTTTTTCTAATGTTTTTTAAAAATAGTATAGCCGCTCGGCTATATTCGTTTTCCCTAATTTTTATTAAAAATAGTATTGCCGCTTGGCTTTACTGTTTTGACACATGGCGCCTAGGCGATGGCCGGGTTCTTTTTTTATTATATATATACCAGGTTTTTCAAATTTATTTGTAAAAAGTAGTATAGCCGTGCGGCTATACACGGTTTTATTAATGTTTCTTACAAATTGTATAGCCGGGCGGCTATATTTATTTTGACACGATAATCACTAGGCAGGTCCTCCTTTGTTTTGTTTTTTATAAATAGTATAACCGTGCAGCAATGCTAGATTTTAAAATTTTTTGAAATAGTGTAGCCGCGCGGCAATACTCGTTTTTACTAATTTTTTTAAAAGTAATATAACCACGCGGCTTTACTGTTTTGATACGTGTCGCATCTATACTCGTTTTTACTAAAAAAAAATTAAAAATAGTATAACTACGCGGCTTTACCGTTTTGACATATGGCGCCAAGGCGCTGGACAAGTCTTTTATATATATTGAAAAATAGTATAGCTGTGCGGCTATACCCAATCTTTATAAAATACTATAGGCACTGGGAGAGTTTTTTTGTTTTTTTTTTGTTTTTTTTGTTTTAATTTTGAAAATATAAAATTAGTTTCTTTACTTTTGTTTTTTTGCCAACTTCTTTAATTTAATATATGTAATTAAGTAATATAATAGCCTTTTTGAATTACTTTAATTAGTAATTATGTTTTAATTATTATTTCTTTATTGAATATTTAAATATGTTATTGATTTCACAAATGACTTAATAAATAGTAAGTACTTGAAGTTCAATGAATGTCAAAAAAATAAATTACTTATTTTCGTTTGGGTGTCTTAATTAAATTTCTCCAAAGCCCAAGAGCGGCTATACTCAATCTTGTTAATTTTTTTTTATAAGAAATAGTATAATACACGTATTTTTTACAATTTTAGGGGCGATATGTTAGAGGGAATGTCAACCGAAAGAAATGGGGTGTTTGATATGCTATTAATAGGTATCATTAATTACAATTATGGCAGTTAATGAATGCTTGAAATAAATTATAAATAAAATATGAAGCATGGTGGCAATGATGTAAAAACATAGGAATACTATGACCTCTTATATCCTATTGGTCATTTAAATTTGAAATTGAATTTTACACGTAGATTTATATAGTGATGGGTATATGTCTAGGAAATAGAAAATGTAGGAACCTATATTAGATAAGCCCTAAAGAATAAGAGGTTGTATGGAAGTTGAAGAGAATGTGACACTTACGGAATGGTAGGCAGAGAGGGAGGCTGAAGCCACGTCACGGCATCGTAAGGAACGGAGCAAAGCAGAGGTGGCCATGGCTCTCTCTGCTTTGAATGACACAGACAGAGACCAGGGTATAGAGAGGGAGAGAGAGGAGGACAGATGGTTTTGAGTGTGTAGTGTAGGGTTTAAGGTTTTGTTGTCCATTTTGAGGTGAAGGGTTGGAAGGGCGACGACCCTGAGCCCTGCATGAAGTGTGGAGAACAAGAAAACTAGCATTCATATTTCCACATACAATATTCATACTATATAGGCATGTACGTATTTTTCATGTTTAATACACATTTTTTACAAAAAAAATCAATAAAACACACAAAAATCATGTAATATACACATAATTCTCACATACTATTGAATAAAAATAATATTTATTTTAAAATGTAAATAATTTATATTAAAATATAATATAGTGGCCGAACTTTCAAGTTGTAATGTGCCAAAATTTTGCCGAATAAAACACCTACGTATTTTATTCGTATTTTTTTCCGTTCTGTATTTTACTAACTATGAATGAATGTGAGAGGCTAGGATTATTTCTTACTTGTTGTAACAAAATTTGAAAAGTGAAGCAATTATCAAGAACACTCCAACTTATCATGCAATTCTCTACGACAAATATTGTGTGCAGTAAAAAAATTTAGTATTACTAGAGAAAACGAGGTCGATTAAAGGCAAATATTCCCACACACACACACACACACAAATTGAACTCTCTAATTGATTTTACTGTGAAATTCTCTCTCTTTGATATTTGCTTTGGATGTAGAAACTAGCAAATTAATATCTATAAATAGAGGCTATACTTGGGTTTCCCTAATTTTTTAATTATAAATAGTATAGCCGCTTGGCTTTACCTTTTTGACACGTGGCGCCTTGGCTCTGACCGGGTCTTATATAGTATAGCCGCACGGCTGTTCTCGGTTTTATTAATGTTTCTTAAAAGATAGTATAGCCGCGTGGCTATACTGTGAAAAAAAAACTCAGAACTTTAATATAATTAATTTTGCAAAGAACCCACTAGTGTAGTGGTTTGTAATAATTGTTCCTCCAGGCAGTATATTGGGTTCGAGTCCTAGCATCAATATTGTGTGTGTGAGTTTAGTATATTATCGCTCTTTTCAAACGAAATGTACTAAAAAAAAAAATCCCATTGAGAAATGCCAAGTGATCCAACGTTTTTACATGCAACTTCAAAATTCCCAATTTTTTATATTGATTTTTCTCATGTTCAATATTTGGAGAAATTAAGGAATAGAATAATAAAGAATTACAGACATGGTAAAAACCAGACCAGCAAAAATTGCCAAGAAGATTAAAAACGGAGGGCCCCACCTACGTGTCTTTATCCAATGGCTGAGCAGTATAGCCAAAGTGTGACACTCTCTCATCCCCTTACTTTCTCTGTGATTTGATTATTATAAGTACAAACAAAACAAAACCTCCCAAGTCTTCGTTTCTTCAAAAACCCCCAAAAGAAAACGCACATTTTTTCTTTCTTTCTTTCTTACTCGGACCAAAACCAGAACAAGCAGAAAACGAAGCAAAAAAAACCCAAAAAGAAAGAAAGAAAGAAGATGCATTCGTTTGGGTACAGAGCCAATGCTTTGCTAACTTTCGCTGTCACAATTTTGGCCCTCATGTGTGCCATGGCCTCTATCTCTGATAATCTCAACCACCCCACTCCCACTTCCCAAGTCCAGGTCCTTTCTCTTCTCTTTGGTAGATCTAGGATTTAAAAAGTTTGAATTTTGTTTTGAATTAGAATACCCAGTTCGATTTTATTTATGATTTTGCTTGTTGGGTCTGTTTAGGTGCTGAACATCAATTGGTTTCAGAAGCAACCAAATGGCAACGACGAGGTACTTTTCTCTAATTTATAGTTTGATGGGTTATATGTGAAATTGTTCTGTATATGAATTCAATTTGGTATTGGCTCAAATGGGTTTTCTTTGATTCTTCTTTATAATCTAGTTTAAAGACTGCTACTTTGGGATTTATATATCGAGGGTCTTAGGGTTATTTTCTATATCAAATTTCCATGTGTATGCATTTGTGTGTGTATTGACTATGTATGGATGTACATGTTTCAGAGCAAAGGTCTGAAATTTCCGGGTTTTGTGGTCTAGTTTCAGTAAATCATTTGGTTCTTTGATCTAGGTGTATTTTATGTGTTGAAAGTAAAATATAAAACATTAATATTAAGATCCTGGAGAGCTTAATCACCTCCTTCCACATATTGGTGTGAGCTCATTGGCTGTCTGTTTATAGATAATCAAGTAGTAAGATCACTGTCCTTCAGCCTTTTAAAGATGTGGTATTTCTCTTCAGTCGAAAAGGTGGTCCATGATTTGACTAGTTATAGGTGGTAGTTGCTGGTGTTGAGGTTTGTGACACATATAAGAAAACAGAATGGGATTGTAACTATATGAAAACAGGTAAAAGAAAATTAGAGGCCTTTTTATTTTTGTTTGGTGATCAAACTAAGAAGGCATTTACTAAAGCTCGAGGTTATAATAAACTTGGTATTGGCAGCAGTTCAACTGCTCCTGAGCTGCATGAACTGTTTTCCCCTTTCCAAGTTGGTTACGCTTTGGATCATCAACATTGGATTTTCCCTTTTGATTTGTAGATAGAGACTAGTAGATGGGTGATTAAGAAAGGAAGATATGTGTATGCAATGAATCACAATTTGATATGAACTAAAGTGATTTTCATTTTATGCAGGTCAGCATGACTATGAATATATCAGCAGACTTACAGTCATTGTTTACGTGGAACACAAAGCAGGTTTGCAATTTGACAAATTTGTGTGTGCATGTGTTAGCAGGAATTCACAGTTGCATACATAGTTTTGAGTATATCTTGTGTGTACTTCAAGTAGTATTTGGGTACACTATGAGGAAGTTTTATGATAATCATGGGTTTGAGAGTAATTGTAAATTTCATGCACAGGACTAGAAGCCAATAAACAAAAAACTACTCTCATTTCCGTTGAGGAAGTGTCTTTGTTGTTGTGTTTTGCTGCATTTTCTTTGTAGTGTCTAGTGAAATTCAAATTATGCAGAACATAATAAGACAATTGAAGCTCTTTTCTGATTTTCCTGCCAGTTTATGTCATGCACGTATCATTCATAACCTTGACGCTAATACCTTCTACTTTTATCCGCAATGTGTGACAGGTTTTTGTTTTTCTAGCCGCTGAGTATGGAACCCCAAAGAACTCACTGAATCAGGTAAAACTACTTTGGATCTGGCTGCACATTTGCTTTTGGAGTTATATTCTTTCAATTGTATTTCTGCTTAGTTATATGTTTCAGTTTTGCTTTTCTTGAGATAAACATGAGGTTGTCAGTCAGCCCTAGGGCTTGTTGACTGTACCAGTGCTTTAGTTGCAGGCTACATAAGTCGTTGCTCTCTATTTTACAGATCTCTCTGTGGGATGGGATCATACCAACCAAAGAGCATGCAAAGTTTTGGATTCATACTTCAAACAAGTACCGTTTCATTGATCAGGTATGCCGTCTTCACGAATTAGTAGAGCCCCTTCCATTCTTTGCATCTGTTTCTTGGCGTTACCGAAGAATAAAGATCTAGTGTAGTTTAGTGGTTCGATCGGAAATTGACAATCTTTATGATTGTTGCTTGTGTAGGGAAGCAATCTCCGGGGTAAAGAATTCAACTTGACGTTGCACTGGCATGTGATGCCCAAGACTGGCAAAATGTTTGCTGACAAGATTGTCATGTCTGGATATCGCTTGCCTCAGGAATATAGATGAGGTTGTGTTTGTATTGTGTACCTTTTTGTTCTGTAGCTTTAGTCTCTCTTAACAAGGAATGATCATTGCTAAATTTATAGACTTAGAAACACAGCAGGCTTTCAGTTCTTATAAGAAAAAAGAAATATATTGAGATTTGCTCGGATTTTGGATTCTCTATAACTTGGTTTGCTAATTCTTGCATGGGATTGGAGTTCCTGTAGCGTCTTGCGGTCCATAGCCTCTGTAACCCCCAAGGAAACCCCGCATGTGGACTGGAAGAGACTTGCATTTCATTGAAAATTGTTTTTACAATTTCATATAACCCAGTGTTTTCTTTTTTTAAAATTTTAAAACTTGTTTTCAAATCGAATAAATTTGAAGGGCATTGGAAAGTTGGGACAAATTTAGTGGGTGTGTTAATGTTAATTAATTTCCTTCGCCCTCAAGTAATGAATTTTTATGTGGACAGGCCTAGGTGGAATTGGAAACGGATCATATTTCCACATTGCTTTTGGATTTCGAGAGTTTCCTTTATTGTTGATGATAAGATTACAAATATCCTTATAAATTAAATACAGACTTGTTCTCTTCAATTCACACTTTGCTCTCTCTACGCAAGATGAAGCACGCACTGACCATGGACATGAGGGGTTCAACAAAAAGAAAAACGACCGAAAAGCCGAACCCAGTTGTCCCTGCTCTCAATGCTCCCAATGCCACCACTCTTCCACACAACAAAAGCTGCGCCAAATGCACCCCTTCATCCATCAAAACGCAAAGTAAATACGACCTTAGAGCCACACTACTACCCTCACGACCCACCCCGTCCCGAAAGAGAAAACAAGAACCGACACTGCCACGAGAACAAGAACAAGAACAACAACACGGACACGAATATGAACACAAACATGAACATGAATAAGAACAAGAACAAGAACACGGACACGAATATGAAAACAAACATGAACATGAATGCAAACATAAGAAGACAACCATGAGGGTGGTTCGCATCCATGTTTGGGACCCCTATGCCACTGATGATTCTTCTAGCGATGACGAAAATAACCTAGAATAGGAAGGGTTTATGAAAAAATCTATTAGAAATATTTTAGTTATATATTAGCATCTCGCTCACGCATATCAATATTTTTTAGTATATTTTATCTTTATCTATAGAAAGTTTTTGTGGAACATTGATTCATGTTTCATTTTTGCTTTTATAAGTATTTACATTTTAATAGACTATTGTTTTGCGTATTTGTCCTTTTAAAATGAAGCAATTGTTTAAAATTTTAATTATAATGAATTGTTGCTACATATATATAGATAAAAAGAAAATAATTTTAGATGATAAGAATAAATGACAAACAAAAACGCAATGAAAAAAAAAAGATAAAAGTTATGCTCAGCTCTTATGCTAAAGAAAAAGAGAATGGAAAAAAAATAATCTGAGTCTCTTTGGAAAGAAACAAAAAAAAGCCGTTTGATTTTCAATATCGTGGGTCAAAAAGTCGTAAGTCCAAACAACGAAGAGTAAAACTAGTGTCATGGGCCTGCGAGTGTAGCCCAAAACTGATCACAACCGGCTATCGCTCGCTGTTGCCTCTCCAGAAATTGAATCCCCAAATATATTCGGCGGAATCAAAATCCCTAACCCTAATTCCCTAGTCGACATCGTCGCTCGCATGACACCTTTGTCGAGTTAGTAAAGAAAAGGTAAAGACTGGCTTTGGCAATACATGTCTAATTGGTTGAAAAATTAACTTTTGAAAGAGACCAACGATTTGGTTTTCAATATTCTGGGTCAAAATCAAAAGTCGAAAGCTTTGGGCTTTTTATTTCTCATTCTTTTCTCTTTTCTCTCCAGAACTCGAAGCAGAGGATAATGACGATTGGAGGCCTGCGCTAAAGGGTGTTTGGGTTGTTCTACATTTCGGTTCAAAGCACAAGTCGCTCGGTTCAAGGCAGGGTTAATCTTATACTTCATATATTTTAGAACTTCAATTCAAATATTGTGGGTCTATGAGTGATTCTCTGGACTGTAACTCCAATCATGTAGTTGCTAATTGGGTCTGATATAACTTTTGTTAACTTTGTGCTCTTCAAACTTGAAGCAGCTATCTGGGTTGATTACCTCACCCCTTAAGAAAAGATGCATTTTGTCGTATGTTTTCTTGGAAGTCACCTTCTTGGTGGAATAGAGATGTAGATAGATAGCAAGTAAATGGCTAATTAGGTGCAAAGATAATGGAATTTTATCTCTGTTTCAATAGAAGGGTACTGAAAGGTAGGTCATACGTTAGAACTGAAATACTTGGAGAGTGGGATGCTGATCTCTATTAACAACTAAAACTTAGCAATTGAGTCTTAGAGACTCCTTAGTTATTGCCACCTTTATCAATTTTGTTCATACTAATTGAGTTTCACATGTTAATGGAGTTTCAAAAACGTTGGATAAATGGTTTGATATATGTATGTAGTTGAGCATCATGTTATGCTGTAAGTGTTTGTTCCACAACACAAAAAGCTGCAAGGTCTGCAAGTTAGTAGCATCCTAGTTCCCTTTAGGTTCTGCTTGATAGATTGCTTTGGGTCACTGTGCTGTGATATTGGCATATTGATTTATTGTTTTAAAAAGCTTTCGCCTGTTTGATATAATTCTTTGGTCTTGTATTTTAAACTCTAAGTTCTAGTTTCGGAAGATAGAAGATATATGGTTCCTTTTGTTTAGGTGAAACATATTGTTCCACAAGGTTCTAGAGTCCGACAAGAAAGGGAAACTTGAATCAGAATTTTACTTTTATGAGATGTTGGAACAGAGATTTTTATCGTACGAATGCTACTCCTTTCTAGACTCTCTAGTTTATGTCTGGTGTTGCAAGACTCTAGTTTTGGCTAACTCTTTCTTTTCTTCTTGTTTAAATAAATTTTTTCATATCCTGTAATTATTTTGATTTCATAAGCCTTTGTTTTTTCTTTCTGAGGACCTCGTATCTTATGCTTTTTCTTGCTTGAATCTTAAGATGCTTTTTCGTGCATGAATCTGGTATTTTCTTTGTTCTTGCTTATCTAGTGTTCGTACACACAGATGCATGAAATTGCTTTTGGAGTTTTTCTGACCTTGTTGTATTTGTGAATCGCAGCACTCATTCTCATAATAATGCGAAGCTGTGGAAATGGCTTCATGTGGGATGGGGGTCTGGGCGATTCTAAGCGCGCCCGGTTCAAACTATTTGGGCTGGCTCTATTAGCCTAGGCACTGGAGCAGATCAAGTTAAATTTTCAGCAGCCAAGAGCCATTCTACCGTGCTAGTCATAGAGCAATGTGCTAATCATTTATTGTAGTATTTCCTTACCAAAAACATGAGAGAGAAGTGAGATATATGAGATCATGCTATTGTTTTGTTTCATGTGTGCGATATTTTCATTATAAAAAAATACACTAGGAAATAACTTGAGAGAAACTTGTAACAATATTTGGATTTAAATGACATTCCCAATTTACTGTGTGTTTTGTGAAGGAAAAAAAACACCAAAAACAGGTGGTGAATTGAAGCAATTTTTTTTATACATTTTTCCAACTTTTAGCAGCGGTTTCTTTAAACCGTTTCAAAAACAAGTGATCGCAGCGGTTAGCGACGGTAGAAAGCGCTGCTATAGGCACTTCCCGATAAGGTACCTTAAAACCGTCACTAATGCTTCAAAACCCGTTGCAAAATATATAAAACCGCCGGAAAAGATAGATATCGTCATCTAAAACGAATATTGTCCTACTTTCTGTCTGCTGATTTGAGTGGTTGTTCCTTCCGTTTTTCAGTAGCCGTCTATTTTCCTTCCCCAATAATACTGTAGGCCATTTAGTAGACCAAGAAATCAAAGATTCAAGTCAGTAGAACAACGAATTAATATCAGTTCTCTCAAGAGAAAAGACCATCAAGTTCAAAGGCTTTAAATTAAACCCCCACATGTACATTGTTGTGATTTTCATTTAACCCAAAACAAAAATACACACAAACCACACGTACGTCTTTCTGCTCTAGACGTTTATTCATAGTATTTTGCAGAAGGTGGTGCTCATCATCAATTTTCTTACTGGGGTCAGTTTAGCTTGTTTAGGAATAACAAAATGCTGAGGGGTTGAGCGGAGAAAGTGGAACAAAATTCACTAGCACTATATGCATAATGCATGCATTATAAAGTTACAGTGCTCGGATTGGATTCAGAATGTTGTCCTTCCTTTGATGTTTTTCGAAGAAAGACTCAAGAGGCTGAAAGAATTTCCAGAAGCTCGTGAATCTTCTGCCCGACATATATATGGACATTAGCAATGCAAGTTGTGTTGCAAAATCACAAATATAGGGCACCTGTGATAGTGGTGGATTCACTAGTGAATGCATTTCTCTGTATCTTACTAGGATCCGAGCATCTAATCGCCCTTTTTAATTTTTTTATTTCATATTTGGATATCGCTTGCCACAGGAATATAGATGATGGTGTGTTTAGTATTGTGTATCTGGATAATATAAAGAAGATCATAGACATGGAGTGGGTTTTCACTTCTGATACGAAAAAAAGCAAAATATGAGATTTGCTCGGATTTTTGGATTCTCTATATAACTTCTTCTTCTTCTTTTTCGCCAAGATTCTCTATATAACTTGGTTTCCTAATTCTTGCATTGGGAAACTAATTCAACCGGACCTCTTTAATTATTTTTTTTGGCGTGTGTGTTAATATTTTGAAATTATTAAATTCCCTTTCATGCAAGGAATTAATTATCTGTGAATAGCCCTATGTTGAAACTTATATTAGAGCATCCGCAATGATGCTCTCTATTTCTTAGCTAAAATTTAGCTAAAAACATAAGAAAGCTATTTTAAGAGCTCTCTAAAAAATTTCAACTCCAACCATACTCCCTAATTTGGAGAGTCATAAATGCTATTACTCTTTTTTGATTGGTCCATCTCTATTAAAAAAAAAAAAATAGTTAGCATTAAATAAAGGTTTGAAATACTCATTAAATAAGGCAGCATTAAATTATAGGGAGCCACTAAGAGGCCTTTCTCTCTCCTCAGATTTAGGAGCTCCTAGAGGACTCCCTATTTTAGGAGGTGAATAGGGAGCATGGTTGGAGTTGCATTTTTACAATGCCTCCCTAAAATTTGTCTAAGAAGGTGGTTTAGGGAGCCCATTGCGGATGCTCTTATACTATGTTGAAACTTATATTATATATTGTTAACGGGGTTTAGTTAAGTGGAAAAGGTCTTTGATTTGCAGACCAATAATCTTAGCATTGTGTGTGAGAAAAACCCACTCCCACTTCCTAACTTTGACCCCCAAGAAAAAGAGAAAACTTATATTATTTTCTCCTTATTGCTTTTGGATTTGTAGAGTTTCCCTTATTTGAACATAAGATTGCAAATATCCCTATAAATTAAATACATGTTCTCTTCAATTCACACTTTGCTCTCTACACATGCATGATGAAGCACACATTGAACATGGAGGGTTCAACAAAAAGAGAAACGAGAGAAAAGTCGAACTCAGTCATCTCAGTCGTTCTTGCTCTCGGTGCAGCGGTATTCCCAATGCAATCACTCTTCCACACACCAAAAATGGCACCAAACGCACCAGTTCATTCACCAAAACGCAAAGTGATTGCATCCTTATTATACCAAAATTACTATCGCAACCCACACTTCGCCGAAAGAGAAAACAAGAATCAGCCATGCCACAACAACATGAAGAAGAGGAACTACATGAACAAGAACATGAACATGAATGCAAAAAGAAACGTTGAAGGTGGTTCACATCCATGTTTGGGACCCCAATGACATTGATGAGTCTTTTAGCGACGAATTAAATAAACTAGGCAAGGGCGGAACTAGAAATTTTTCAATGGATGGGCTAGCTAAAGTTATTAGCTTAAAATCTAATGATAATTTTATTTTTTTTTACTTACATTTTCTATAGTTTTTCTAGAAATAAAAATATACATTAAATCATATAAATCATGCTAATTGTAAACACAAGGAAAAAAAATTAGAGCCATATTATTCACGAAAAGGTGAATTTTATTTAGAAAAATGCTTCACTTTTGGAGACAAATTAATAGAAATTTTTTTAAATTGTTGTTGGGACAAACTTTAACACCAAATACAAATGTGGAAGACCTCTTACTATGCATATTGGCGTTGAGATTATATATATATATATATATATATATATATATATATATTTTATAATTAAAATATTAGACTATATGTATATTTAATTTGTTTTTTCCCAAACTGTCCCTGGGCTAGAGCCAAGGGCAGCCCTTGCCTTGGTTCCGCCCATGGAGTTGATAATGATCTCAATACTTGTTTTTTGGTTTTTATGAAAAATTCTAGTAGAATGCTGTTATTTATAAATTAGCCTCTCGACTTGCGCTCACGTGTTTGTTGATAGTTTCTTATTTTTATTGTATTTTATCCTTATTTATAGAGAATTTTTCTGGGATGTGGATTCATATTTCATATTTTATTTTATAATTTTTTGAATATTTAATTGGCTATTGTTTTACATATTTTTCAGTTTAAAGAAAATAAATTATTTGAAAATTTAATTATAATAAAATTTAAATTATGAGAATAAATGAAAAGGAAAAAAAATTAAAAAGAAACTTTTTGATTTTGATGAATAAGAGTAAAATTACGTTCATGGGTCTGCATGTGTAGCCCAAATCTAAAGGGTTAAAAACTTTAAAAATGTCCAATCATTTGAAGGGTTAAAATTGGCTCAAAAATGAAAACTCATAATGAAAGTTAAAAAAATTATTATATGCTAGCACTAGGATGTTGTTAATCTTTGTGGAATAACATGTCTATGTCTATTTGGTCATTATATTATAATTTGGTTCAACATAAAATTAATAATTATGTGTAGTCTAAGCTTGAAACCCCAATCTATTTTGGAA